TATAAATTATAATTTATAATAATTATTATAAATTGGTTATGAATACGAAATAAGTTCAGAGTTCAAAGTATTGCTTGTATGTGTTGCTTTTTTATTGCCAATCATATTTACGCTTGCTTCATTTTCTTAGAATGATCAATGAAAATCTTAAATTTTTACTAAAATTGAAAGTTGGAATTTGAAACTTTTCATCTCTATTGTGAATTACCTTTCTTGCATACTTGAAACAGAAAGTTTGTGACCGCAGTAAAGAACTAATCTTGTTTCGGACTAAAAGAGGGTTTCAGGTTTTTTAATTCAAAATGTTTTTGATTTTAGTATGTAAAAAACATAGTGCTAAAAAGTACGTAAGACACTTTGCATTTTATTCCACAGATATTATTATTTTGTAAAAAGAACTCATGCATTTATATATGTATAATCAGACAATAATTTTGAAAAATCGTAGCATTAAAAATATTTTGCATCTTTATGGTATTTTGTGACAAATTTTTTTTTCATTTGTTCTAAATTTTACTGATTAATTTGAAATTTGTAATTCTTTATTTAAATGAAAACAAGTGAGGCAGTGGTCTCGCATACTTGAAGCATAATAAAATCAAATTAATGTTGCGTCAATTTTATGACTGATATCTTTTTTCAACGCAATATTTTAAGCATTAAATTTATTCATTTTTACTGTACCTGGAGATGGCTCGGATTGTTCATATCAATGCATTCAATAAAAAAATATCTGCGTTTGCTATTGGGGAGTATGTTTTTTGCAAATGTCAACTGCTTGGAAGTGGAACATATGGTACTGTCTACAAGGCATATGATGTTAGAAAAAAAAAGTATTTTGCGATAAAAGTAATCAAAATAGACAGGTATGGACTAATTTAATGCTGCACTGTAAGTAATAATTTTGCTTAGCTAATTACTTGACAATATTTTCTTTCTTATTTATTATTATTTTTTCTCTTATATTTGTTATCACTCTATATTATAATAAAATGAAAATTTGGTATAATTTTTAGTCACGAAGGAGTACCGGGAACTTGCCTCCGCGAAATATCGATTTTAAAAGCACTCACTCATCCAAATATTGTCAAGATTTTAAATGTTATCCCAAACATTGGTAAGCAGATGACTCGTTTTAAAATTCAGTAGTTATAAAACTACTAGTTGCTTTTGCTTGGGTACTTTCATTTTGCTTTATTACCAATATGTGATAATAAAACAGACATATAGGCAGATGTGTAATTAAAGTTATTTATGATAATTTTAGATTAAAATTATCAAATGTGTAAATTTAGTGACAGTATGGTCACAGATTAATTTAGCATATATAAATTCTTGTCTGTTCGGTTTTATTTTATCGAAAGTCATGAATGTATTTATGGAATAAGATTTTGAATTTCTCGCTGCTTGCTTTTCGTGGGATGTTATATTGCAACTATATTTTTTATAGAATCTCGAAAAATATACATGGTTTTCGAGCATGTCGACTATGATTTGAAAAAGCTTATGGAAATAATTCGACCCAAATGCCTGCCCATGCCCTACGTCAAGGTAATTACAATGAGCGCATGTCTAAATTGAAAAATTTGTGGAATAATTTTTATGGAGCGAATTTTTGATAATTTTGAACAAGCGAAAAGCACTAGTAGAGAGAATGCAGCAGTCCTTTCAGTCATTTCTATGGCAAATATTGCGAGCTCTGGCTCTTTGTCATACGAGTCGTGTGATACATAGAGATTTAAAGCCGCAGAACATTCTGGTTGCAAGAAATGGTATTATAAAAATTGCTGATTTTGGCCTTGCACGTTCGTTCAATATACCGTCAAGATGCTACACGCATGAAGTGGTTAAATTTATATTTTATTTTGTTGTAATTTTTTATTTTAAATTGTAGTAACAAACAAAGTTATTACTTTCATGAAAAGGAATTACTTTCAGTAAGCTTCTAGAATAAGTCAAAGTATGTATAATTAAAATTTTGATATTAAAATTTGTCTTTAATATGTATATTTATGCATGTGATTGTTTCTGAAACTTTTTGAATTTCATACCTTATATATTATGTCACTTTTGATTGTGTATTATTGAACGACATACAACGCATCAGTATAGATTGTGACTCTTTGGTATCGTGCTCCTGAAATTCTTCTTCATGCAAAATTCTATTCGACAGCTGTGGATATTTGGAGTGCAGCTTGTATATTTGCTGAGCTGATCACCTTTGAACCTCTTTTTCATGCAGATAGTGAAATCAGTCAGTTATTTCAAATTTTCAAGATTTTGGGGACGCCAAATGAGCAAGTGAGTTTGATTGTATACCATTTTTGATTCGCTTCTAATCCATGCTGTGCAGTAGTGTCCTTTTCCATTTCCTTTTTATGAATTATCCATACCATCAATCTATATTATATTATGCAAATTAATATAAGTGAAATCATTTCTCTAGAATACTTGTAGATTTGGCCCGGTTTCACAGAATGCGCACATTATACGTCAAATTTCCCAAAATGGAAAAACTGTCTTTTGGAAGATTATTTAACGAGACTTGATAATGACGGCCTGGATTTGCTTGCGGTAATAATTAAATATATCTTACATTTTGGTTATTAGTTCTCTCAAAACAGTTAATGACTTGGAGATTTCTGTCATTGTTTGCTTCACATTTTGAATCCATATTACTTTATTATTTCTTAAGTATACTGAGAAGCTGAATATCAGACAAAGCGTCACCTACGATGTTTGATCTTCTAATTAAAGAATTTTCTCTAGTATTCTTATTTTGAGTGATCATATTATCATTGTTAGACCTTACTTTCAACTAATTTTTATTGGAAAATTAAACGCTCATCATGAATCTCTAGGATTATTTTCCATATAATTTATGAGTGTTTTTTGCAACTAATTATTACGTCGTAATTTATTAGTGCAATATTTTCAGCAAATGCTACTCTATGCTCCAGAAAAACGTATCACTGCAAAAGCAGCACTGAGTCATCGATTTTTGAGAGATGTACCGATACATCTGGAGCCAGTCACGTCATTGTTTGAAGAGAATGACTAATGCTGAGAGAAGTTGAAATCACTTGCTTAAGGTGCAAGTTTTGCGTGGAATAAAATTTATTGTTGAGATACTTGTTGTGTGACATTTTCACACAGTAAAATTTCTGCTCCAGTTTAATTATGCAATAATGAGATTTATGAGAACATCGCAAGCATTTTCTTTGTGTTCTGAATTCACAGCGTCTGAAAAAACTTATGTATTCCAAGTCTAAAAAGAAGCAAATCTGTGAGAAGATTTGATGTTGACGAATTATTATTCAAACTGCTCTTCGAAGTAGGAGACTACTAACACTCATAAGGTTTCTGCCGTAAGAGATGCATATCGGTGGTGTCGGCAACCGCCAAAAGAATTTCTAAAAGTGCCAGATGGATACGTTAAATTGTAACGCTTCATCGAAATTGAAAGCAGACTGTGTTCCGCTTGGAAGGGGAAGGAAATGTGATTGATGTGTTACTGACTTTGCGTCGTATTATAGCAAATACAAGTCTGCGAACAAAAACATTGCCTTCCTTCTCCATCCAGACATTAAGTAACTATCGAGTCTGCTATATAACGTACGTATAGTACGGTAGGTTGTTGGGCAATAAGTCTCCGACATGTTCAGACGTTTGAATAATATGCATTCAATGAGGCAAAAAAGGAATGCAGCTTCAAGCTGCTAGTAATCAATGCTGCATTTACATTCTCTTCCATTTTGTGTAATGTGCAGTAAATATAAATAAATACAAAAAGTGTTCAGAGCAAATATAATTATTCAAAAAGTGTTACTTCCCTCCATCTTTATCATCATTATTTGCAGTTATTTTCTCATGCACTTTTGGCGCTCAAATTATGTATTATCAGCTCAAATTATTACACTAATAGTTGATAAATATTAGTTATTTAAAGTAATAATTATTATTTATCAACTATTACATAAACAATTAAAAAGCAGTTGATAAATAACAATGATTATTGTTTAAATAATAATTATTATTATTGTTATTTTAATAAATAGTTGATAAATAATATAATTGATATTTATCAACTATTTTAAATAATAATGATTTAAATAATAAATACCGGTCTAGCAATTAATAATGAAATAAAAAGGGATTCTCTCCATACGTGTCATTAAAAGGGATTCTCTCCATACGTGTCATTCTCTCCATACGTGTCATTCTCTCCATACGTGTCATTAATGTTCTCACGGTCAGTGGTGTTTGCTTTTATTACTGTTATTATTATTATCACTTCTTTTACTGATAGTGTTAATGATTATTATAATTACATGTCTCTCATTAGATGTCACATTTTTTGTTGTGTAGCAAAGTGATTATCTACCAAGACTGTCAACTTTTATACCATTGCTATCATTTTTCATTAAATATATTTTTTTTAATGATAATTTTGATCTTTACTGTTTTTGCAATGTTGCTACCAAATGCAAATATTCAAGATTTATTCAGTCAGATACGTAATCTGATAATAATTGATCGGATTAGGAAGGTTTTTCAGTGTGTACAGGATGCCATCATCAGTAGTATCGAAAGCATTACTATTAAGATTAAAGTGGCTTTCCATCATTATAAGGCTTGCATTATCGTTACTATCATCGTTGTCAATTTTTGCATCCAACCAATTACAGAGATCCGTCAAACTATCCAAAACATCTGCAGTTATTAGTTTTTGAATACGTTTTTCAATTAATTCAAAAGCAGTTTCATTCAAATTTTTTTGAAGTAAGACTCATTACGCTAATACTTAAAACAAAAATATGTCGCAATGTTTTCAATGGATTTTTTGTATTTTCTGTGTATGCAAAACCAGAAGTCTCTGCATACATAGAAAATGTATTATGTAACCAAACAATTTTCAGAATTAAAAGAAAAGAGTAGATCTGAAAATTTTTCGAATCTGTCAGTAATCGTAAAGAGAAACTAATTCATGGTGAAATGTTAATTGCAAAGAAAAGTATTTCTTTCCAGTTTTAGTCGAGAATTACAAGAAGCTAAGCTAAGTACATTTACCGTGAAAAAAATCGTCGTCCGTTGGATTAAAATTCGATGTCAATACAAGAAATGGTCGAAATACGAAATCACACAAATCGACTAAAATTAGAGTTATTCGAGCTGCTCGCAGAAAGCGGTCTATTTCTTGAACCGAATTAGAAAAAAGTACCGGGGTAAAAATTAGCAGTGCATCTGGAAATAACAATTTCAGTTGAGTAAGATTGCGAGAAATTTTAAAAAACTAAGGTTTTGGAAATGAAATTTCAATCCTAACTTTTGTAAAAATAATTTTGCATTAAAACATGACAAAGAAATTAACTATTTCTATATCTAAATCTGCAATTAAAAATTGATTTCAAAAAGGCTCGAATAATGCCAATTTTCAAATAAAATTAATCCTCGAAAAATATGAAGTGCGCAAGACAAATTTGACCAACCTGTATATGCATCAGTAATTGAACCAGCGGATTGATGGATCAAATTTCTGATTGATCGGCAAATGAGGTAGGTGAACTGACGTAGAAAATGGGGTAGTTGTAGAATCAATCTAATTTTTTAAATGGCAGTTAAATTAAACAGATTATGATCATTACGTAAGGTTTTATTGATAATCAATCAGCTATGTCGCTTAAAAAATTAAAAAATTGGTCAAAAATGCTAACCCTTAAAAGATTTACGCAAAAGAATTAACTCTTAAAAAATCGAGAAAACTTAATTACATACCCATTTACGTAAATAAGAGCTGTCTCTAGCGAGGATTCAGGTGAAACACATATAAATTCTTCAGACTGGTCGTCAAATATTCCTCTGGGAAAAGAACTGAGAATTTCCTGTAATTTTGTCTTGCAATCAGCACAATATGGGGAGCATAAAAATTATAGTTTTGCATAATTTCTAGACTGATTGAGGTGATTTATAATAAATGTAGTAATAAAATTATGCCCTCAAACTGTTGAGAGAAAAAGCATTACTTTTAGGCCAATAAAAAATTATGGCTTAAAAAATTTGAAGTCTCAATAGTGTTTGATATAATTTCATACTTCGAAGGTAAGAACAAATTCATTAAATGTCATTCTCACAGAATTAAAAATTGCAAGAAAATATGACAGTTAGAAAGTGTTTAAAAATTGTAAGAAACTCTTTATGATTTTGCATGTTTTACAGAATTAGTATCGAAAATGACGACAACTAATTATAGAATGTGCAAATATTGGCTACGTTCACAATTTTTTTATCGAAGAGTAAAAGTTGATAGTGTAAGAAATTTCTGGGCAGTATTTATTATCAGCTTCAGATGTACTTGAAAAAAGTTACTGGACAAACCTTTAAAGTAGTAATGACTGCATTTAAGTCAACATTTGCTAATTCTTTCGCCACTGATTGCTTTCGTTTCAATTTCAATAATAACTTTTGCACTTCTGTAAATTACTCAGTGCTTACAAGTGGACTGAGACATATGACGTAGTGTTTGTTACTGTAGAAGATACAAAAATCTTCATTTTTAATTTGTAAATTACTCAGTGCTTACAAGTGGACTGAGACATATGACGTAGTGTTTGTTACTGTAGAAGATACAAAAATCTTCATTTTTAATTTCTATATTTAATGTTATATAATAGTACTTAAATTCTATAAAAGTTTCATTTTTGTTAGATTATTGGCTTTGTTATGATTGTCTAAAACAAAAAAATTATTATGGCACCACCAGGTGTGTTTGCATAACGTAATCCAAGGCGTGTACGTTCTTCAGGATTAACTCTTATATCACAGATCTTCGCCAGAAAATACTGAAACAAAAAATCTTGCAAATAAATGTTGACTGAAAATAAAACGAAGTAATCAATAATCCAAAATTGCGATATTTTTGATTCCAATTCTTTATTTAAATTCAAAGAATCTTACAAGGAAAAATTTCAAAAGACTCCTTGTTCAAAATTGCAATCAATTTCGTGTAACTGTAAAATTTTAAACTGTCCACTTGACACTTTCAATTTTTTGTCAAAAAACTTCAAAAATCTATGAGTTTACAGTGGACAGAGTGTATTTGAGATAATCAAAGTCGAAGCATAATGAATAGCACAGTGTTATTTCTAGCAGCCATAGTAATTGGTACCTCTAAAATTATTGTTTTTGAATTTAAAAAATAACTGTGAGGTTAACCTGCAAAGTTGGCTGTGTGAGTGTGAGGCCTTTGGAGTGAATTTCAGGAGGTATTGCTCGAAGAGTTTGGAGTTTAGTACTAACCAAAGATTTTTGCTTACAAAATCTATAATGGTTTTTAATGTTATACACAGAAGCACCATTTGGCAGAGCAACATTGAGACCAAGCATAAATTGCATCGTCGATGCTCGTTTACCATCCTAAAATTCTAGATAATGAAAATAAATTAATAAATTTTCTTGTTTGATATTAAAAAATGAGGGCAGAATCTGAAAAAATTTGTAATGAAAAGAGAAGAATGGTATTTCAATAATTTGTAATAAAAGGCAGAAAAAATTTGAAAATTAACTACTTTTAAGGTAAAATTTAAATTTAAAGAGTGAAGTCAGTATTTTTGTGGTGTCAAAATTTGTTAAAAAAACAAAATTGAGAGATAAAAGAAAGCATAGCTTTTATTTATCGAAAATTAATAAATTGTACAAATTAACGTAGAAGAAGGAATTCAAAACGAATTTGGAAAATTTTTTTCCAAGAACATCAACAATTTAAAAGATTATATATAATTTTTTGTAGAAATCTCTACGCAACTTTCAAATCGCTTTTATTGATAACATTGATAAGCAATAATGTAATAAAGTATTCAAAGTTTATTTAAGTAGTTATTTATTTAAAAGAATTTTCTGAAATATTAGAGAGGAGCGAAATTTAATAAGAAAATTATAAAAATTGCGAAAATGAAAATTTGAATAATTTCAAAAATCCCTTGATTGATAGTAATTTTTTGACTTTAATAAAAAATCTGAAATAATTACTACTGAATTTAAATTGTATTCTATCAGTTGCTAAGTTATCTGTGGCAGTCAGCAGAAGTCAGCGATTATTTGTGCTTTTGTCAAATCTGTTTTATTTACATTGGTTGCATTATCATTTGCATTCCGAAAGATTTCGTAGAATTGTTAATAAATGTAGTAGAAATTGCATTTGAATGCCCCAATTCTGACATAGTTCAAGTTTGATAAAATTTCGGAAAGATATATTTCTGAGAAGTTTAATTTTGCCTCATTTTCAATTTGGTATTTCTCAAAATCATTTATTTGATTAAATTATTATTTGCTTTAATTTGCAGTGTCGAAGAAAATGCAAAATATTTAATTAAATATTTATGAACTAATCATCAAAAAACTGTATGCAAAAATGTTTTTCAAAATAACAAAAAT